GGGCCAAGTGACGCCCGTGGCAGAGACATCGACTACGCACCTGACCCCGCGCAGCATCGGCCCGTGCACCAGGAAGTAATCCAGAAAGGCGGCGGGGACAGCCTGCACGCAGGCGGGCCCGCGCGGGGCGACGCACATGGCGGTCGCCAGGTGGAACCAGTCGTGCCCCGGCAGCCCCTGCGGCGACATGCCGAAACCACCGCCGACGATCCAGGCCACGCCAGGGCCCGCATCCATGCGCTTCACGCACTGCGCGACCTGCCACGCGATCGCCAGGTTGCGCCGCGGCCGGCCCTCGCCTGCGCGCTGTATATATATATATATATATATATATAAATATAAATATAAATAAATAAAGCCATCGCCACGAAGCCGCCAGGCAGAGCCGCGTGCACGCGCGCCGCCACGGCTCGACCAGGCACGATAACGCCATTGTCGAGCAGGGGTCAACTGGCGACTGCAATGTCGGGCTTAGCCAAGACTGCGACGCCGCCCTCTGCGCCGCCAGCCTGGGTTGCCAGAGCTGGGCCCCGCGCGCCTCGCAAGCCCGCGTCCCGGGCATCGCCCTGCACCTCGGGGAGCTTCACCGCGCCGATTTGGCGCTCCTGCGCCAAGACCACGTCGCTGTCGCAGTCGACCAGGTACTTGGACAGGGTGCCGAACCAGTTGGCATCGATGGTGGAAAGATGCAACTTGCTTCTCATCGTGATCGGCGATGCAGTCTCCTCAAGCTGCGCGTGATTTCCTGACCACCCTCCACTTGGGCATGGCCTGGCGGATACGCTTAACCGCGGCGCGGAGCCGATCTTCTGGGGAATCAGCGGCATTCGGGATGTCAGCACCAGACTCACGCAAGAAATCCCGAAACTCATCCACCGTGGCTTGGTTGACGGACCCCTCCTCCTGGTCCCAGTCGGCTTCCGTGGCAGCGTCGTGTTACGTTTTGGCTGCCTGGGCGGCGGCGGCCTCGGCGGCCTGCCCCTCCCGGGCCTCGCGCTGGGCCTGAGCCCGCTGCTCCTGGAGCTGAGGGCGTTGGCGAAGCTTGCCCACCGCCGCGGCCACCTACTGCACAAGGTCAGGAGCAGCGCCAGCAGACAGCAGCACCCGCTCCAGCTTGGGCAACGTCCAGCTGCCCTCGCCGGCGCCAGGCTCGGTCCCAGGAGGCCCCGTGAGCGGCTGCGGCAACGCCCCACAGAGCAGGGCCCGCTGGCCCTCAAGCTCGAGCAGCTGCTTGCGAGACTCGGCGAACGCCGCATCCTGCGTTGCGATCTCCGCCTGCAGGGCCACCAGCTGCGCCCGCTCGGCCTCGCGGGCGTGCTGCTGCTTGGTGATATGCTGCTCGTCCTTGGTGATTTTGAAAGCGAGAGCCTTGAGCCGCTGCGCGGGCGGCTTCTCCTGGAAGAGCTGCGCACGCAGCTTGACCTGCTCCGCCTTGTATTGTTCCACCAGCTTGCAAACTTCAGGCGTGTCGGTACCAGCCGAATGCTTGACGAAGCTCTCCAACTCGTCCGGCCTCTGCTCGACAGCAGACTCAGCACCAGCCTCTCCCTCGCTGCCCTCGGCACTCGTGGAACCCACCCCAGCATCGGGAGCCTTTGCCTTTGCAGGCTTGGGCTCCGACGTACGCGAGCGCACCTGCTTGTGCATCTCCAGCAGCTGCGCCGATATCGGGCGTGCTCCCTTGCCTTTGTCACCGCTGGCCCATGGAACCGTGGACCGTGATGGAGATTTGGCCTCGACGGGGCCCCCGTACACCACGCTCTTGGCCGGGCCGCATCTGTTGCAACACAATTTGTCAGCGAAGTTGACGTAGGGCTTGTGATCACGTTCGAAGCAGGTTTTGCAAAGCCATTCATCCCGACGCGCTGCTCGACTGCCTGTTTTCGCTCCAGCGGCGGGCGGCGCCATCGCTCCTCGATCACAGACTCAGAAACTGTGCCCGAGAGAAAATGGACGGCGGCCAGGACAGCCACCGGAGAGAAAATCTTGTACCAACGAATTGGCCTCAAAACACAAACCCCGTCGCGCTCGGAGACGCCCAAGAATGGACTCGCGGTCGACGGGCGGTTCATAACCTTGAGCCAAACATGGCTACGGATGCGTGTATGTGTGTGCGTGTGTGTGTGAATGTGATTGTGAATGTGTGTGTGTGTGTGTTTGTGTGTGCGCGCGTACGTGCGTGCGTGTGTCTGTGTGTTATGTGTGTATGTTTGTATGTGTGTATGTGTGTTGTGTGTGTGTGAACGTCGTCGTCTTCGTCTTGGGGAGGGGGGGGGCCATTTGATGGTGAATCCCGAGCTGGGTCAGGGGGGGCGCAGAAAGCAGCCCGAAGGCGAGGGCGGAGGACGGAGGGGAGGAGGCGAAGGGCGAAAGCGGGGTGAGATGCCCGAGGAATGTGGAGTGCGCCGGGGGGGGGGGGAGGGGGTCGAGGAAGCAGAGCCTTAACAAATCAGATGGCGCCTCCCGAGCGCAACATGGCGCCGCCAGGCCCGCTCCCGCATCGTACATCGCTGGAATCCCCGGGTCCTCCTCCATCGTACGTAGGTGGAAGACCCGGGATAATCTTTGGCAGGATGTCTCCCAGACTGGGTCCAAAACGCCACTGTCATAATCAGTTGGCGGAATTCTCCATTAACTCATGAATAGGTCGTCCCTGGGACTCGCCGGTACGGGGGTTCAATCTGATGGCCCTCAACGGTGCACGACTTATATAAACGCAAAGTGTAAGCGACGGGAAATAATAATGATTCCTCCCTGTCGCACCCCAGACGTGTCGGTACGACATTCTACGGCAGTGAAGCTTGAAATCTGCAGCGGTGTCACGGATGGAGGGCGGTTCCTTTTTTCGACTCTGGTTTTCAGATTAGCGCCGCTCACATACGCTTTGATTGTGCGCAGCAGTTCAGGATGGAAAGCAGGTCGTTTTCAAAATGTGGCTCTCGCTCTAGCACCGTGGACATGATTCTTCAAAGTTTGCAGCAGCTTCAAGGATGGAGGGTGGTTCCTTTCTTAAAAGAGCGGTTCTCGTCGTAACGCCGCTCACATTGTTTGAAGCTTACAACGGGTTCAAAACTGGAGGACGCTTCCTGTTCCAATGTGTGGCCCTCGCCGAAGCAGTGCGCACATTCGTTTTAAAAAAGTTGCAGCAACTCCAGGGATGGACGGCGGACCGTTTGCACATGCGGCTCTCGCCTTGACGCCGCGCTCATTTGTTTTCAATGTTTGCAGTAGTAGATCCAAGAGCGCAGGGCGCTTCATTTCAAAATACGGCTCTTGTTTTCGAGCCGCGCACACTGGCCTTAAACATCTGAATAAGCCTCAAGGATTGAGGACAAGCAATTTTCAAATTGTCGCTCTCGCCGTCATGCCGCGGACATTTGTCTTAAAATGTACAGCAGTTCTACTGACTCATCATTCTAAAAGATGATTATCGTCCTCGCGACGAGCACATCCGTGCTTCAAACTTTCAACAGTTTCAGGGAATCGTATGGTTGAAGTCCCAGGCATGGCTCCCTGGCGCGACTCAGGATTGCCCTGACGCAAAAGCATACTGACTCGATGTGCTGGAGTCCAAGCAACGGCGTTCTTTCAATATTGATGATTGGCAACGGCGTTCTTTCAATATTGATGATTGACAGGACGCAACAAGTCAGGCTGATTGGCCACGTGGATCCGCGTCGCTGAAGTCCTGGGACTGGTGTTTGGGCACAATTGCGGGTTATCAGACGTTGATCTTCCAATGGGAAAATTCCTGCAATGAAAAGAACTTCTTCTACGAACCTTTGAAGGGGGAACTTGGAGGGGGACTCGGACTCGGACCTGCAAGGTGCACGCTGCACATAGTTGATGCGTCTTGGATGTAGACTGGTCCTCCTCCTCCTCGAGTTTTGAGCATCGAGGATCTGGTGGTTTGAACGTCCTTTGCCACCTCTCAGGCCTCTGGATGCTTTCGGAGGCCTCTCGGGACCTGCAGGAAACTTCTGAGTGTCTCCGAGAGCGTCGGAAGACCGCGCAAAGCATTCGAGAGAAGCCGAAAACCTCCCCTCGCCCTCCCCGCACTCCGGTCCTCCAAGACTCCCAGGTGATCGAGCCGAGGAGGAGCGCGGAGGAGCAGAGGGGCAGCTTCTCCTCCACCTCCTCCTCCTCCACCTCCTCCTCCACCTCCTACAGTGCGAGCGCGGCCGCAAGAACCCCCCGCAAGAAACCCAACCCTGAAATCCCGCGCGCGCGGTGCACCGGAGGGGACACCCGGAGCACCCTGAACGCAGCAGCTCCTGCAACGGCCGCGGGAAGTCGCCGCGCAGTGCGAGGAGCGAAGAAACCCGGGACACCCTGACGAAAAGCATACGGTTCCTTGATGCGCGCCCCCACTGTAATCCTCCTTCTCTTCCTCCTACTCCTCCCCCAGGCACCGGCTCTCTCGGCACTTCGAGGTGGGCCCCGTGGGGCCTCCCGGGGGGGCCGCGGCTCCGAGGGCGGTCCCGTCTGCGAGGCAGGCCGCCGCCCGTCCGGCCATGGCATCGGTGCTGCTCGCGTGCGAGCCTCGCCCTCGCGAGGCGGAGGAGATCGGCCGCCAGGCGCTGACGGGCCGTGCGAGGCCCCAAGCCGAGCGAACGGGTGGCGCCCAAGTCTTGGAGGATGGGCAACGTGGGGGTGGGGGGGGGGGCCCAAGAAGGGGATGGCGCCACCCTGCCCGGGAACAGCCATTCTCCTCGGATGGCCCCCCCCAGTCCCCCCCCCTCCCCATGACCCTTCCCTCCATGGGCAGTGAACCTCCTCCTCCTCCTCCTCCTCCTCCTCCTCCTCCTCCTCATCCTCCTCCTCCTCCCTCTGGGGAAACCAACAGGTACCGACACCGGTACTCCCCGGACCTCTCCAGGGGTGCATTCTGACCAGAGATTCGAGGCGAAGCCAGCGTCGGCGACGAGGGCCTCCCAGAAGGCCCCCAACAGTGGAAAACGATCGCTCTGACCCCCCCCTCGTCCTCGCAGGGCGCCCGCCTCGGTGTTGCCCCAGCGCCACAATCGCCTATGGCGCAGGTCGGCGCCATCGGTGGCGCAGCCCCGCCGGCCCTGCCTCCGGAACAGAGCGGGCCTGGCGGGGGCGCCGCGGGCGTTGTGTACGCCTTCTTGGTCTGGCAAGGACGAAACACGAGCGACAGCAGCGTGCAAGAGCAGGACCACAAGAAGCAAGGAAGGCGATAGAGGAGAATTAAGATGGAACGGCCCACATGGCACAGAGGAGCGGCTCCAGTCTGAAGATATGTATCCTCAGCAGAAAGAGGAAACCAAACAGGTGGGATGATGTCGAACTGCAGGATGGCAGCCATTTGCAATTATAGGGCGGTTGAGGAGCGAAAGAGGAACGGAGCAAATGTAAACGGCAAAAAGAAAGGCCTCCAACATTGGGTCCGAATAGATGAGGTCGCGCCGAATTGCCGATGCATCGCCGATGCAACGTTGGCGATGCATCGGCGACGTTGGCGCGGAGAAACTTGGGCTCCACATCGATCCGCAGCGCAAATGCATCGGCGATGCGCAGCGATCCTTCGATCCCATCTACTCGGACCCCATTTGGTAGGCCTAGAAGAAAAGAGAGCACAACAGGGAGATGGAGAAGTGGTTGGTGCGCGACTGCTGCGGAAGAGTAGTAGCCTTTCAGCTCAACCCTTGGGGAGCCGCCTCTCGATGATCTGAATCAGAGGCTTATTATCTCCTTCCTCCGACGCCGTCCAGGCCGCGCGATGGCCGCGCGCGATTGGGAGGCACTGGCAAGCTCCCGGGAGCCGCCGAGTTTGGTTGCCCAAGGGGCAGGAAGGGAAGGAGAGAGGGAGGGAGGTACCACATACTGGCACAATCCTTGGAGAAGAAGGGTTGGGCGTGGGGGTATCCTCCTCACTCCTCCTCCCTCCTCCTCTTCCCTCCTCCCTCCTCCCCGAAGCGTGGTCGGGAGCTGGCAGAGCTAAGCCGGCGCCCGACGGCAGCCTGCTGCCCGGGCACCGTAGGGGGGGAGCCGGCCGCGCCCAGCCTGGGAAGAGCTGGCGCCTCGCCTCGCGGCGGCAGCCTCGCCCCCCTCGGCTCGTCCAGACATTGCGGGGGGAGCTGGCCGCGCCCGTCCCCAAAAACCCGTCTGGCCCGGTTGGGGTCGGCCCGACGGCGGCTCCGTCGGCCGCCGTCTTCGGGCAGGTCGTGCCGGGCCGTTGGGCCTCCGCGAGCGGCCGCTGGGCAAGTGCCTGCCGACGCTTACGCTGCGCGGGCAGCTCACCAGCTGCTTCTCTCAAGGGGCTGGCCCCTGGCACGCAACTTGAAAACGTCAAAGCGGGTGCCGACCCATACGCGTTCAAAACACGTCGGAAGACTGCACCTTATCCTCCTCCTCCTCCTCCTTCTCCTCCTCCTCCTCCTCCTCCTCCTCGTTATCCTCCTTATCCTGCTCCTTTCTGCTCTAGGGAAACCAGCAGGTACCGATACGCTACTCCCTGGACCTCTCCACGGGTGCGTTCTGACCAAGAGTTTCGAGGCGAGGCCAGCGTCGGCGATGAAGGCCTCCTGGTAGGCCCAAAAGGGCGAAGACGAGGGCAGGGAAGCGGTATGGGCACATGTTCCTAATTCGAAAAGCTGTGCTGGTTCAGCGACATCGACCCTGGGGAAGCGGACGCAACGGCAACGAGGGGGGGGGCGTACGTACGCATCTCTGCGAGGGAGTAGAGCTCAGAGGCGATCATATATGAAGCCATCCCCTTCCAGTTTTGTCTGGCCGCTTATCTCGAATCATCATCATCATCATCATCATCATCATCATCATCATCATCAGCAGCAGCAGCAGCAGCATCAGCAGCAGCATCAGCAGCATCATTCTCATCAGCAGCAGCAGCAGCAACAGCAGCATCATCACTATCACCATCACCATCATCATCACCACCACCATCACCATCATCATCAACATCATCATCACCATCATCAGCATCACCATCATCACCAACATCAGCATCAGCATCATCATCAGCATTCGCATCAGCTTCATCATCATCTTGCGTGTGAACATCGGACGCGCCCCTGACGCAGATCGCGATGCCAGGGTCAACAAACAAAATGGGCTTTCAACACAGGGTCAGCCTTGAACGCCTTCGCCAGCGTCGCCAACGCGCCATTGCCGCATGAACCTACCGTGGGGCTGGCTTCTCTGGAGGAAAGAGAACTATGCACTTGCACCGACTCTGGCCAGGCCCATCCTGAGCCCAGGATCCGTGCATACGCCCGCTACCTTGGCCAGGAAGGTATCTGCACCGATCCTGGGTCAAGGACGGGCCTTGCCGGCATCGGTGCATGTGCACAAGTCTCTTCGCCCGATTCTCCGCAGCCCTGCCCGAACCGCCGTGAACAAGCAGATGCCTGCAAAGCGTGCCGCTTCTTCCGTGGCTGCCGCCGTGGAGGGGCCCTGCATGTGGCCGCCCCAACGGGGCATGGCGGAGACGATTGAAACCCTGTCCTTGCCTCGTTCTCGCTCTTTTGGGGCCTCCTGGGAGGCCCTCGTCGCCACGGCTGGATTCGCCTCGAGATTCTGGCTAGAACGCACTCAGGGAGAGGTCCGGGGAGTAGCGGTATCAGTACCCCCTGATTTCCCACGAACGTGGACACAGCGGAATCTATTGCAACGGTCTCAACGGCTGCGTCACGGCAGGAACGGAGGTTCCTCCGGGACAGCTTGAGCAATCCTCGCAGGACATACCCTTTTTCGTGGCTGTCGTCATGGAAATGCCCTGTATGTGGCTGCCCTGACGTGGACACAACGGAATCTATTAGAATGGAACAACAACAACAACAACAACAACAACAACAACAACAACAACAACAACAACAACAACAACAACAACAACAACAACAACCGCATAACTATAACTTTTGGCAATCCGCGAGGATTTCTTGGATCTGAGCTAGACCTCCCTTCCTGGCGCGCGGAGCGTGTCAGGGGCGGCGCCGAGGCGCCGCCATGGTATCCCAGCGCAGGTCCAAGGAATCTGCGCAGAACGTCGAAGGTTTAGGTTTATGTCGGTTTGTCTTCTTCGGTGTAACGCTCTCAACGGCTGTGGCACGGCAAGAACAGAAGTTCCTCCAGGACGCTATTACCGAGCCATTGTAGTGGCAGATCCGCACCGCTGCAATTACCCAGGAAGGCGGCCGAAGGAACGCACGAACAATTCGGTATCCGAACGCTGCACATTCGGTCGCATCCGTCAGGACTAGCGTGCTGTTGGCCCACGAGACCTTCGAAAGGACTCTTGTTCCACGGCGACCACCACCCCGACAACGATCGTTCCAAAAGCTGCAACACGGCTGCCCTGCAGTTTGAATGCAGGAGAGCCATGCCAAAGGGGAACGTTGTCCGTTGCAGCAGAAGTTCAGAAAGGCTCCGTCAAGTCCTAAACGGCCGACTCGAAGTTCGAGTGGCACGTGTCCAGGTTACAATAAACCTGAAAAGGGCTTTCAGGCCTAGCAGCGGCGGGAGGGGTCAGGCGATCCCTAATCCCCCTCCACGCTTACTCATTGACCATCCTCGATCCTCCCTGCATCTTCCCTCGGTCCTCTTGCTGCCCGCACCGTTCTACAACAAAGGCGGGGGCGTGCGACAACAGCGGGGGCGGGGTTCGGCCTGAGGGGCGCTGGCGCACCTCAGCGCACAACGCGCGCTGCGGTCCCGATCCGACGCTGTCCAACCAACGACACGATAACTCGTTCACGGCTCCTCCTGATCTCAGGCTGGTCTCAAGTTGAAATAGAGGCCCATCCAGAGAGCCCCATGCCCAGGCCCTCACGACACTTTGTAGCCTCGGGCCACCTTAAGCCCGACTCCAGCTACGAGCGCGTTTCGTATGTTCGGCGATGACGGGCGTCATGGGGGGGGGGGGGCGGGGGGGGTATGACGTGACGCCCCTGCCCCGCCGTGTGGCTCCGGCACCACAGCCGCGCCCGCGCGCACGACGAGCGACGAGCGACGACGACGACGACGCCAGCAGCATGTAGGTGGCGATCTGCCCCACTGCGCATGTGTACACCACAGCGCTCGCGTGCGCCACAACGCGCGCGCACACCACAGCGCCTGCGTACACCGCAACAACCGTGTGCAACGCAACACCTGGGTACACCAGGGTGTGTTTGCGTACGTTGCAGCGCCAGTGTACTTGTGTACACCGCAACCACCACGTGCAACACAACGCCTGTGTACACCACAGTGCTAACGTGCACCGCAGCGCCCGTGCACGCCACAACGCTTGTGTACACCACAGCATCCGCGTGAAACGCATCGCTGGTGTACACCACAGCGCCGGCGTTCATAGGACAAGTAGAAGGAGCATGTTCGTGAGGATCTGCTGCGGAACATGGAACGCCACGCCAGGACAATTTTGATAATTGGATGCGACGTTCTTCCCTCCTCCCTCCTCCTCCCCTTCCACCTCCCCTTCCTCCTCCTCCCCTTTTTCCTCTTCCTCCTCCTCCTTACTCCCTGTCGTGCGGCTTGGCTTTACAGGGTACGTGCGCATCTCAACGTGCACCGCAAAATTGTCGATTGAATCGGTCCACCTCGTTCTCGGACGGCCTATTTAAGTGGATCCTCCTGGACGCAATGGGATAAGTTGGGGTGATGCGGGCGGACTCGGGAGCACTCGTAGGTTCCACAGCGGTTCTGGATTCATTGATATTGTTTGCTGTGAGATCCACAAACGATCCATTTTGTCATAAGGGTGTGTTCTAACATTCTACATTCAGCAGTGGTGCTGTTGCACACGGTTGCTGTAGTGCGCACAGGCGCCGTGGTGCACACAGGCACTGCAATGCACGCAAACATTGTGCTGTACATTGGTGTTGTGTTGCACAAGGCTGATGTGGTGTACGCAGGCGCTGTGGTGCACACAAGAGCTATTGTGCCCGCAGGCACGGTGGCACAAACTGACGCTGTGTTGCACGCGGCTGCTGCGGTGTACATAGGCGGTGTGGTGTACACAAGCGCCGTGGTGCACCCAGGCACTGTGGTGTACACGAACGTTGTGGTGCAAATCGCCACCTACATGCTGGTGCTACCCGTCCTCCGTCATCCCG